TCGAAAGTGGCGACAGTTTCGCAGATCGCAGCCCCCCAGGGGCGGCGAGGTCCCGCTCAGGTCCGCGCGGTGCCTCACCCCGCAGGACCCACCAGCAGCCCTCGAAAGTGGCGACCGTTTCGCAGATCGCAGCCCCCCAGGGATGGCGAGGTCTAATTTGGGTCCGCGCGTGGCGTCACTGTGCTGGGCCCCCCAGCAGGCCTCGAAAGTGGCGACAGTTTCACAGATCGCAGCCCCCAGGGATGGCGAGGTCCAATTTGAGTCCGCCGTGTGTACCCACTGTGCTGGGCCCCCCAGCAGGCCTCGAAAGTGGCGACAGTTTCACAGATCGCAGCCCCCCAGGGATGGCGAGGTCTAATTTGGGTCCGCGCGTGGCGTCACTGTGCTGGGCCCCCCAGCAGGCCTCGAAAGTAGTGACAGTTTCACAGATCGCAGCCCCCCGCAGGTAAGACAGGAGGAGGCAGGCAGGAGGCAGGAGGGAGGCGGGAGGAAGGAAGGAGGCAGGAGGGTTGGAAAAAAAACTACGTGCAGCGGATTCGCTGCCTTGCCCTGGGAAGGCTTCGGCTTGCCCACAGGCGGCCCACCCAGGTAGTCCCAGCTGACCTCGACAGGCCACGGGAGTAGTCTGGGGCGGTCTCCGCACCTCCACCCCGGAGCGCAGAGCGCCCTTCGGGCGCCGCCGTAGGCGGCGGCGGCGGCGGCGGCGGCGGCGGCGGCGGCGGAGGAGGAGGAGGAGGAGGAGGAGGAGGAGGAGGAGGAGCCCCAGACGATTCGGGGGGGCTGTTGAGGCCAGCTAGAACTACTCGGGGCGGCCTGTTGAGGCCAGCAGGGACAGCCTGGGCGGGAGCCGCGCGCGCGCAACCCGAAGCCTTGCCAGCTCCCCCACCCCCTGCGGCCGCCCCGAGAGGTGCTCTGCAAGGACGAAGTGGTCCACTTCCTGCTGAGCTGCGTGCGGAACAGGTTCGTGCTGTGGGCCAAGGTGCTTAACCTCAAGGAGGACCGGCGGTACGCCTGTCGGGGAAACGGCAGACTCGAGTTCGCCACAATTTGGGTTTGCCGACGCGTTTTGACGTGCCCGTCTTGAACTTTGACGGTCCAGTTTTCGTGGGAGTTTTGCAGCGGGGGTTCGCGTCACATTTCAAAGTGGGTCTCGCAACCATCCTGTGGTGTTGGGTCCTCGTTTTGAAGAGACGTCGCCCCGCGTTCCTTCCTTCCTTTCCCGCTGCCCCCTCCCTCCTCCCACCACCCCATTTCGGCACACCCCTCACACGTTTCGTGGTTTCTTAGGGAGTTCCACCGAAGGCCCCAGTGTTGCCGCCCGCATGCGTCCCGCACACCCAATTCGGCACACCCCTCACACGTTTCGTGGCCCCATAGGGAGCTCCACCGAAGGCCCCAGTGGCGGCGCTCACATGCGCAATGCGTCCGCACACCACTCGCACACCCCTCAACGTTCGTGGCCCCATAGAGAGCTCCACCGAAAGGACCCAGTGCTGCCGCCCGAATGCGTCCCGCACAAACAACTTCGGCACACCCCTCACCCGCTTCGTGTCCCCACGGGAGCTCCGCCGAAGGCCCCAGTGCTGCCGCCCGCATGCGTCCCGCACACCCAATTCGGCACACCCCTCACCCGCTTCGTGGCCCCATAGGGAGCCCCACCGAAGGCCCCAGTGCTGCCGCCCGCATGCGTCCCGCACACCCAATTCGGCACACCCCTCACACGTTTCGTGGCCCCATAGGGAGCCCCACCGAAGGCCCCAGTGCTGCCGCCCGCATGCGTCCCGCACACCCAATTCGGCACACCCCTCACACGTTTCGTGGCCCCATAGGGAGCCCCACCGAAAGCCCCAGTGCTGCCGCCCGCATGCGTCCCGCACACCCAATTCGGCACACCCCTCACACGTTTCGTGGCCCCATAGGGAACTCAACCGAAGGCCCCAGTGCTGCCGCCCGCCTGCGTCCCGCACACCCAATTCGGCACACCCCTCACACGTTTCGTGGCCCCATAGGGAGCCCCACCGAAGGCCCCAGTGCTGCCGCCCACATGCGTCCCGCACACCCAATTCGGCACACCCCTCACACGTTTCGTGGCCCCATAGGGAGCTCACGGAGGCCCCAGTGGCGGCGCTCACATGCGTCACCCACACCCACCCAATTCGGCACACCCCTCACACGGTTCGAGGCCCCATAGGGAGCTCCACCGAAGGCTCCAGTGCTGCCGCGCAATTCGGCCACCCATCACACGTTTCGTGGCCCCATAGGGAGCGCTCACCCAAGGCCCCAGTGCTCTGCGCCCGCATGCGTCCCGCACACCCTTGGCACACCCCCTCACACGTCGTGGCCCCAAGGGGGCTCCACCGAAGGCCCCAGTGGCGCCGCCCGAGTTGCGTACGCACACCCCATTTTGGCACACACCCCTTCACACGCATCGTGGCCCCAAGGGAGCTCCACGAAGGCCCAAGTGCTGCGCCGGCATGCGTCCGCAACCACCCAATTCGGCAAACCACCACACGTTTCGTGGCCCCATAGGGAGCTCCACCGAAGGCTCCAAGTGCTGCCGCCCGCATGCGTCCCGCACCACCGAAATCCGGCACCACCCCTCACGCGCTTAGTGGCCCCATAGGGAGCTCACCGAAGGCCCCAGTGGCGGCGCTCAACAGGCGCATGCGCCCCGACACACCCAATTTGTTAGGGCATACCCCTCACACGCCTCGTGGCCCCATAGGGAGCTCCACCGGAGGCCCCAGTGGCGGCGCTCACATGCGTCACCCACACCCACCCAATTCGGCACACCCCTCACACGTTGCGTGGCCCCATAGGGAGCTCCACCGAAGGCCCCAGTGGCCGCGCCCGCATGCGTCACCCGCACCCAAGTCGGCACACCACTCACACGTTTCGTGGCCCCATAGGGAGCTGCACCGAAGGCCCCAGTGGCGGCCGGCGCTCACATGCGTCCCCGCCAAACATCCCAGTACACCCCCCACACGCTTCGTGGCCCCATAGGGAGCTCCACCGAAGGCCCCAGTAGCGGCACTTACATGCGTCTCCGCCACCCATCCCGGCACCCCCCCCGCATGTTTCGGGGCCCCATAGGGAGCTCCACTGGAGGCCCCAGTGGCGGCCCTCACATGCGCTTCCGCCACCCATGTCGGCACGCCCCGCACGCATTTCATGTCCCCATAGGGAGCTTCACCGAAAGCCCCAGTGGCACCCATCTCGGCACACCCCTCACACGTCCCGTAGTCCTATGGGGAGTTCCACTGAAGATGAAACCCACAGCTGCGGTACTGACAACTGCATATGGTTGGGTTCTTCGCCAGGCTAATTTGCTTGGCGGCCCCGTCAGGCCAACCCGAGTCCCTCGAACCCGAGACTTACGTCTCCCCGACCTTGGCGGGGAGGCTTGCGAACAGTTGACAAGGTTTTCGGTACGTCCCCGTGCTTGGAGCAGTCTTGGAGGTAGCTTCTAAGGTTCCCTCCAAAACGTAAGGACCAGCGTTCTCCAAACAGGCGTGCCTATAAGAGTCCGAGCTCCACCCCTAGAGGACTGGTTCAGGAGTCTCCCCCCTCTACTTGGTCCCTACATTCGTCCAACTATGCCGGCATGGCTTCTTCTGCCGGCTTCCTATCCGCATGGCTTCCTCCTATCCGCATGCTTTCCAGTTTCCTCCGACCCGTGTAGCTATTCAAATGGCGCCCCAATTGTCGTCCAACAATCGTGAAACTCAAAAGTAGAGTGCAGCATATTGGAGTAGAGAAGTGTAGATGAGTAGGGTAGAGTAGAGCGAAGTAGAGCAGAACAGGGTAGAGTAGAGCAGAGTATATTAGAGTAGGGTAGGGAAGGGAAGAAAGGGTAAGGTGAGGTAGGATAGAGTAGAGCAGAGTATGGTAGACGAGGGTCGGTGGTAGAGTAGGTTAGGGTAGTGCAGGGTAGGGTAAAACAGAGCAGAGTACAGTAGGTGCATAGTAGAGTAGAGTCAGGTAACACAGAGTAGAGCAGAGGTGAGGAGAGGAGAGGAGATTAGAGTAGGAGCAGATTGTATTTTTCAGAAATACAGTAGAGTAGGTCAGGGTAGGGTAGGGTAGAGTAGGGCAGAGTAGAGCGGAGTAGAGTAGAGTATGATAGATGCGACAGAAGAGCCGGGTGGAATAGAGTAGAGTGGAGTGGAGTAGAGCAGAGTAGAGGACAGGAGAGTACAGTAGAATAGAATAGAGTAGGAGTAGAGTAGGGTAGTGTAGCGTAAGGTAGAGTAGAGTAGAGCGCTTCAGCCTTCTGAATTATGTGGCGTCTGCGCTAGTTGTTATTTATTAGTCTTCGCGTCCGTTCGCTTCCGATGGGCTCTTGAGGCTTCATGGTGGCTCCAAAATGGCCCAAGAGAGCCCCAAGAGGGCCAAAGAGGGGCGCCGGGAATCCCTCCGGAGGTGCCCGAGGTGAGAAGCGCAGACGTTCAAGCAGCGCTCGCCCTGATGGCGACTCCCAGAGTCGTCCTTTGTCGTCCTTGGCTGCGTGCCTCGTTGGGAGAAAGCTCATGGAACTTGGAGGCAGACCTTCCACAGGCATAGAGCGTAGACGTTCAAGAATCGGCGGCGAGCGAGGGGGGAAGGGAGAAAGAGGGCCGGCCTTCTGAAAATTTCCTTCAGCCTTCCCAGAAGACACAGAAAATGTCTCAGAAGGCGCGAGGGCTTCCGAGAAGTCCCGCCGCCTTCTGAGAAGGCCTTCTCCTTCTCGCTGCCCCCCCTCGCTCGCCGCCAAATGTCGTCCTTGGCTGCGTGTCTCCTTGGGAGAGAAGGCTTGTGGACCTTGGATTAGGTCGGGCGTGTCCCCTACAGGCGGGTTTTGGACGAAAAGTTCAAAAATACCCGAAAAAATTTAAATTATCCTGGCGAAGGACCCAACCATATGCAATTGTGAATAACGCTTTGCGGGTGCCGCTTTCGGTGAAGCTCCTTATGGGGCCACGAAAGGCGTGCCACGAAACGCTGTCTTGGGCGTACGGGACGCATGAGGGCGGTAGCACTGGGGCCTTCGGTGGAGCTCCCTATGCGGCCACGAAACGTGTGAGGGGTGTGCCGAAATGGGTGCGGCGCCGCCATGCCAACGCAGCCACTGGGGCCTTCGGTGGAGCTCCCTATGCGGCCACGAAACGTGTGAGGGGTGTGCCGAAATGGGTGCGGCGCCGCATGCGAACGCAGCCACTGGGGCATTCGGTGGAGCTCCCTATGGGGCCACGAAACGTGTGAGGGGTGTGCCGAAATGGGTGCGCGCCGCCATGCCAACGCAGCCACTGGGCCTTCGGTGGGCCAGAAATGGGTGCGGCGCCGCCATGCCAACGCAGCCACTGGGGCCTTCGGTGGAGCTCCCTATGGGGCCACGAAACGTGTGAGGGGTGTGCCGAAATGGGTGCGGCGCCGCCATGCCAACGCAGCCACTGGGGCCTTCGGTGGAGCTCCCTATGGGGCCACGAAACGTGTGAGGGGTGTGCCGAAATGGGTGCGGCGCCGCCATGCCAACGCAGCCACTGGGGCCTTCGGTGGAGCTCCCTATGGGGCCACGAAACGTGTGAGGGGTGTGCCGAAATGGGTGCGGCGCCGCCATGCCAACGCAGCCACTGGGGCCTTCGGTGGAGCTCCCTATGGGGCCACGAAACGTGTGAGGGGTGTGCCGAAATGGGTGCGGCGCCGCCATGCCAACGCAGCCACTGGGGCCTCGGTGGAGCTCCCTATGGGGCCACGAAGCGTGTGAGGGGTGTGCCGAAATAGGTGCGGCGCCGCCATGCCAACGCAGCCGCTGGGGCCCTCGGTGGAGCTCCCTATGGGGCCACGAAACGTGTGAGGGGTGTGCCAAATTGGGTGCGGCGCCGCCATGCCAACGCAGCCACTGGGGCCTTCGGTGGAGCTCCCTATGGGGCCACGAGAAGCGTGAGGGGTGTGCCGAAATGGGCGCGGCGCCGCCATGCCAACGCAGCCACTGGGGCCGTCGGTGGAGCTCCCTATGGGGTCAGAACGTGTGAGGGGTGTGCCGAAATGGGTGCGGCGGAGCCATGCAACGCAGCCACTGGGGCCTTCGGTGGAGCTCCCTATGGGGCCACGAAACGTGTGAGGGGTGTGCCGAAATGGGTGCGGCGCCGCCATGCCAACGCAGCCACTGGGGCCTTCGGTGGAGCTCCCTATGGGGCCACGAACGTGTGAGGGGTGTGCCGAAATGGGTGCGGCGCCGCCATGCAACGCAGCCACTGGGGCCTTCGGTGGAGCTCCCTATGGGGCCACGAAACGTGTGAGGGGTGTGCCAAATTGGGTGCGGCGCCGCCATGCCAACGCAGCCACTGGGGCCTTCGGTGGAGCTCCCTATGGGGCCACGAAACGTGTGAGGGGTGTGCCGAAATGGGTGCGGCGCCGCCATGCCAACGCAGCCACTGGGGCCTTCGGTGGAGCTCCCTATGGGGCCACGAAACGTGTGAGGGGTGTGCCGAAATGGGCGCGGCGCCGCCATGCGAACGCAGCCACTGGGGCCTTCGGTGGAGCTCCCTATGGGGCCACGAAGCGTGTGAGGGGTGTGCCGAAATGGGTGCGGCGCCGCCATGCCAACGCAGCCACTGGGGCCTTCGGTGGAGCTCCCTATGGGGCCACGAAACGCGTGAGGGGTGTGCCGTGATAGTGGGAGGGGGGAGGAGGGAGGGGGAGGAGGCGGAGGAGGAGGAAGGAAGGAAGGAAGGAAGGAAGGAAGGAGAGGAGAGGAGACGCGGGGCACCGTCTCTTCAAAACGAGGACCCAACACCACAGGATGGTTGGGAAAAAATATCCCCATACTATTGTTTTACTATTTTAAAGATATTCCTCCTGTAGAGGGACACGCCCGACATAAAGCTTGGAGGCAGGCCTTCCACAGCCACGGAGCGCAGGCGCTCCAGAAGGGGCCCCCGCCCCAGCGCAGGCGCCCAGAAGGGGCCCCAGCGCCGCCCGGAGGTGCCATGCGGCCGTCTCGGGCCCGTCGTTGTGCGATCTTGGGGTTACCGTAGCTGCCCCGATACGCGACACGCAACACGTACGGTGGGGGCGTTGGTTAAGGAATGTGCCCGGGAGGCTTCAGACCCCGGAGGGTTCCGTATCTGATGAGGGCGGCGGCAATATCCATTGCCAATCCGCGATTGGAGTTCCATTGGCTTCCAGACCCTGGATTCCTTATCCAGTGCTTCCTTATCCAATGCCCCCACCGTAGCGTATTGATACGGAGCTCAACACGTAGATTGAACACGCACGCTTTGAACACGGCACGTGTTACGTGTCACAATGTGAGTATCAAAGCAGCTAAGCTTGGAGCCTGTTTTTCTTTAGATTCGTCCCCCCTGAGCCGCTCGCTCCGTCCGCCCCTCTTTCGACCGCGCCCTCCCCCCGCTCCTCCGGTGGCACAATTCGCTCTAACGGCATCCCCGTTTAGGGATCCCATCGCCAGCGCAGACGTCCCCTGCCTAGCCGCCGACGCAAAAAGTTGTTCTTTAGATTCGAGCATGTTTGTTTGCACGGCTTTCCCCCCCCTCGCCCCTCTTCAATCGAATACGAGCGTGCAAGTGTTTTTCGACTTGCGTGATTTCCGCACGTCGAGTCGTTTGCGGTTTGCTTCAGGTTCAGCCCCCCGACCCGTCCATGCAAGTAAGTTTGCCAGAGTCTAACAAAAAGGCTCTTGGGGATCATCGGGCCATCTTTGGGCGTCTCGGGGGCGTCACGGGACAGTTTGGTGTCTTCTGAAGTGTTCCTGGCATATCAAGTTGGGCCTGGAGGTTGGGAGCAAATCAGAAGAGCAAGAGTAAGTTTGGTTGGTCGCGGACTCGGCGAGCGTGCGGATCGGGTAAGCATGCGCTGGGCGGCAGCGGAGCGAAGTGTGCGCCCCAGATGGGGACGGGCGAGGGAGGGTCGCGGCCGCGGAGGAGGAGGAGGAGGCGGAGGAGAAGGAAGCGCAGAGCCCGGGTGGCTCATGCGGGCCGCCAGCGCGGCACGCCACATTGGAGACGAGAGGGCTCACGCGCGGCTCGAGGCGGGAAGCTTACGTCCGAACGTCGACGAAGACGGCACAGTTTTCTTCCGTCGCTCGCAAAGCCACAGGAATGCAGAGGGCATGGGCCACGAAACACGAGACACGAGGGTACCCTTGATTTTGCAGGGCCGACCTACTAATCAAACTCGGCTCTACCTGCTCTGAACCACCGCGCAATGTCGCTACGCCATCTCGCGCAAAACCCGTGTCTTTTTTCTGTTCGCCGCTCGTGTGGCCCTCGGAAGGGTCTTGTGTCCCCTGGCGTGCCCTCTCCAATCAAGCTCGACTGCAGTTCGTGGGGCGAAGTGCTGCGGCCCCGGGCTCCAGGAGGAGGAGGAGGAGGAGGAGGAGGAGGAGGAGGAGGAGGAGGAGGGGGAGGGGGAGGGGGAAGGAGGAGGAGGAGGAGGAGGAGGAGGGAGGAGGAGGAGAGGAGGAGGAGGAGGGAGGAGGGGGAAGGGGACTGGGAGGGGGAGGGAGAGAGGAGGGAGGAGGAGGAGGAGGCGGGAGGAGGGGAGGGGAGGGGGAAGGGGACGGGAGGGGGAGGAGGGGAGGAGGAGGAGGAGGAGGAGAGGAGGAGGAGGAGGAGGAGGAGGAGGAGGAGGAGGACGAGGAGGAGGAGGAGGAGGGGAGAAGAGGAGAGGAGGAGGGAAGAGGAGGAGGAGAAAGGAGGAGGAGGAGGAGAAGGAGAAGGAGAAGGAGGAGGGAGGAGGAGGAGGAGGAGGAGGAGGAGGAGGAGGAGGAGGAGGAGGTTCAGCGCTGCCCTGCCATGGTGTGTGCGGGGGCGGGATTGGCCGAGCGGGCTCGATCGCAGCGGGGCAGACGCGACAGAGGCGGCGGTCTGCGCAGAGCCGGCGGGAACTCGCCAGCGCCCCAGCAGGGAGGCCAGGTGAGAATCACGATTCGGGGGTCCCCAGACGGTGTGGTGACCACGCCGCGTGGCGAGTCAGTGGGGATTCGGGGTCACCATGCGGCTTGGGGACTCGAGTCGTTCTCCGAGGACGTCTCGAGCGAATGGGGCCTCCGAGCTTCCAAAGCCGTGCGGTGGAGGAACGCGAGGTGAGGTCGTTGGAGAGTCCGAGGTCACCACGCGGTCCGTCACCACGCGGCTTGGGGCCCCGAAACGATGCCATTAGGCCGACGACTGCAGCGCGACTGAGGGGGGCAGCCAAGCCGATGGGTACCTGCAGCGCTGAAGGATGTCGAGGGTGGCGCTGATGAACCGAAACGAATATAAACACGCGCATGGATGTTCTAAGTGTATTGCATTCCAGGGCCCCGCTGGGAGTGCTTCTTGGGGCCTTCGTGGGGCCGCCACGGGCCTATTGAAGACATCTTGGGACTTCTGGGAGGCCCCTCATGGGACTTAGGAGGACGCCACCTATACACACACACACGGGCCCCTGCCAGGTCCGTCTGGAGCTCAGGACCAGAGTAGATGCCATCCCTGGCCAAGCCAGGAGGCGCACCAGGAAGCTGTACACACATGCAAGAGCTGGAGTGACATGCGGACGCATGTCTTTCCGGCGCTCGGCCGCCGTATGGCCAGGCACGGTGATCTTCCACGCGTGTATCCAGCGCGTGGCCCCCGCGTGTTCCAGCCAGGAGGCTGGAAGCACATATGTCTTCTACAGCTGCGCTTCCAGCCTCATGGTACGCACCGATCCTGGGCCAAGGAGGGCCTTGTGCGGGTGTCCAGTCGGCGCCCTCCCGCCCAGGCACAAGCCCGAGCGTGAGCGCCAGAGCAAAAGCCCGAGCTCGAGCCTGAGCTCAAGCCCGAGCCCGAGCTCAAGCCCGAGCCCTAGCCCGAGGTTGGGGCCCCCCTCCGCCGCAGGAGCTCTGCGCCGGCAGCGCGCAGTGGGACCGGGCGTTCCGGGCACACACGGCCAGGTGCGCGGCTTGCGCCACGGTGGATATGCGACCGCAGCAGGCCCAGAAGGAGCCAGAGGCGCCGCCGCCCAGGCTTCGATGGGGGGAGAGGGAGGAAGATGCACACACACACACACACACCTTCTCTATCCTCTGATCCTCCTCTTATTTGTCGTATCCTCCTTCTCCTCCTCCTCCCCCTCCTCCTCCTCCACCCCTTCCTCTTATCCTCCTCTTTTCATCCTCCTCATCATCCTCCTCCTCCTCGTCCTCCTCCTCCTCTTCCTTCTCCTCCTCCTCCTTGTCCTCATTGTCCTCCTTCTCCTCTTTGTCCTCCTTGTCCTCCTTTTCCTCCTCCTCCTCGTCATCCTCCTCCTCCTGCTCCTCCTCCTCCTCTTCCTCCTCTTCCTCCTCCATTTCTTTTCCTTCTAAATAACTTCTCCATGTCGCACCCCGAGGCCAGTTTCTAGGGCGGGCCGGGCGTTTCGCCTAAGTCCTTCTCCTCCTCCTCCTCCTCCTCCTCCTCCTCCTCCTCCTCCTCCTCCTCCTCCTCCTCCTCCTCCTCCTCCTCCTCCTCCTCCTCCTCCTCCTCTTGCGCAGCGCCCGCGTCCGAAGCCGCAGCGCCCGCGCCGTGCGCGGCGGGCACGCTGAGCTGGCGACCTCGATCCGTTCCTACGCCGGGGCCGGTTCTCCAAGGGGGGGGTTCAGTCGGACCGAGGTACGAGGTCGGTTCGGGGAGAGTACCCTAGTGTTCGTCGTGTTTGTTAAACGTTCTTGTTCACCTTGGGGAGGGTAGTTACCCTTGGCAATTTTCTGGTTTTGGCCAACTGAGGGTCTCATGTTCTTGAATGATGTTCTTCTGGCCTAGGTCCGACTGTAAGTCGGCGGTGAGCCCGAGGGGGAAGTGAGAGGGGGCGGGCCTTCTCAGAAGGCTCGGAAGTCCCCCAGCCTTCTGAGAAGGCCTTCTCCCTCTCACTTCCACTCCTCGCTCGCCGCCGAGTGAGGTCGGGAGCATTGGCTCAGTGTGTCGCGCCGCCAGTTCTGGCCCACCACGCTTCGGCGCGGCACGCCAACCACGCCCGGAGCCCCCCCGAGAGTCAGCATCCCGGGCTTTTTGTCCAATGTCTCCCGCCCTCGGAGACTGGAGAGCGGCACGCTGTGTCCGCCTGCAGTGCACAGCGTGGTGCCGGGGCCGCCGCCGCGAAAACGCGGAGGGAGAAGGACCTTACCATACGCTCTCATCGGCGGCGAGCGAGGGGGGGAAATGAGAAGGAGAAGGCCCTCTCAGAAGACGGCAGGATTTCACAGAAGCCCTCGCACCGCCCCCTCTCACTTCCCCTCCGGGCTCGCCGCTGGTCTCAAGAGGAGGTGGGAAAGGCCCCGCCGCCTAGCATTTACGCACAAGCTGTGGCCCGCTGTGCCCGTCGCCGAGGAATTGGTCGGGCCAGGAGTCTTCGAATCCAGTCGTCACACTCACAGATCGAGGAGTGGCTAATGTGCGCAACAGTTATGCACGTGCGGCTGATAGGCCTACTCAGAGTGTGGCGCTCTTGTGGACGGACCAGGCATGGAGAAGGGATGAGGTCGGAAACATCGCGAGGATAACGGGTCGCGCCCTCCCTGCTATTCAGTGTCGTGCGCCCTCCCCGTTTGCGTAACATGCAGGCGCGGCTGCTGCGCGGTGGTCTGCATTCCGTGTGGCACTCGCCACTTCTGCCTGCTGTTTTTGTCGCCTCTGCCGCTTGGACGTGCTAGCGGGCCACTCACATGGCCGCATGTCTCACTGATAGCTCTTCCCTGGACGGTTCTAACAAGGGTACAGAAGAAGGACCGCGAAGGAGTCCCACGGGGGGAACAGAGAGCCTTGGACCGCCCTGCCCAGCAGCCGTTTCGCCAGAGACTTCAATGTATTCAGGAATCGCGCTCTCGCCTCAATGTCGGCTACATGTTTGGTCTGGACGGCCACGATCCCGTGCAAAAAGGCACGAAGGTGCAAACGGCCGTGCTCTCACCCCTGTCCCCATATGGCCGACCTCCTCCTCGACCCGCCTCTTCACCTTTGCTGCTGTTAGGGTGCTCCGCGGGGGTAAGTTTGGCCCTGCGGATGTCCTGATGTCCTGGCAGACCTCCCGCAATTGCCCCACATCGGCGACCGGCAGCTCGGTAACATCCACACTCCTTGTGTGTGCGTCGACTTCACGGCATTGACCGTCTTGTCTTATCGGCTGGCGCCTCGAGCGTGGCCTCCGATCTCGCCTCTTTCTCGTAGATGCGCATGTCCTCGAAAGCTTCCTCAACTCTCCCGTAGTGGCTCCATGGTTGTCTGCCAATCTCCCGACCGCAGTGTCGCGATCGCCTTCCCGATCAACTCGTTCACGCAGGCGGTCATGGGGGTGTTCCGATCCACCAGCGACCGGAGCCTTTCGAATCGAGCCAGCGGTAGGGTGTATATCTTGCGGACGCTCCTCCGGTCGAGCACATTCCAGGCAGATGTTGGCCTGTTCCGAACGGCCAGGCCTTCTTTGAGGGAAGCGACGGTGCTACGCTCCGGAGATGGCCTACCAGGGCGTAGGCTCGCTTGCTCGTAAAGTTGGACCTCATCATTGCACCTCGGGGGAACGCCAGCAGCATTCAGACGACGAACGAGCGGAGCACGTCGGCCCACGAGGAAGGCCCCCAACCCCGTGCCGCTCCCAGGGCACCCAAGAGGCGCTTCAGCAGCACCATTACCAGGAAGGCGCTCTGCATGTGAGCTGGAGCCAGTCCCGCCTTTCCTCGCCTGGGAGGAGGCCGTTGGAACCTTGGTAGGCGTCGAACTACTTGTAGTATGGCACCTCTATGTCTATGTGCTTGTGCTCCGGACTGTTGGAGGAGCTCACTCTGCGCAGTTCACCCCCTTCGGCAGGCGGTACTCCTCTGCATCCTTCGGCGGCTCCTCTTCATCTGTGCGGCGCCTCGAGCCGGGCTCCGCTGCCTGCGGCCTCTGGCCACCGCCGTGTTGCCCGGCACGCAGCGCCTTATGGCGCGTCGTGGCCTGGGGCGTCTTCGCAAACGCCATCGCGGCGATGCACTCGAGGTCGTCGCAGCTCGTCGCGCTGCTGCGGCGGGCAGCGTATCCCGCACCGCGCACCGAATCGCTGCGCGCACCGGCCTCGGCCAGCAGGCATTGGAAGCCAGTCTGCCAGACTGCGTGCTCGAAGTACGCGGACGCGTAGCGCGTTTTCGCTTTCATCACGGCGCAGTCGAAAGGTTCTACCCGCGGCCGCCGCCTCGCCGACATGACGCTGCAGCGGACGAGCCCAGAGGCGACGGGGCCAGCCCGCAGAGCGCTCCGCGGGGCGCGCGCGAGCGAGTGCGAGGGACTGAGTTCCCGCAGATGGCCATCCCTTCTCCTCCTCCTCCTCCTCCTCCTCCTCCTCCTCCTCCTCCTCCTCCTCCTCCTCCTCCTCCTCCTCCTCCTCCTCCTCCTCCCTGCATGGCAGAAGCTCCGATGCTCCCCACCATCTTCCTGCTCCTTCGACGGCCAGGCACAAGAGGCGCTACCGCCCAGGCCGCGAGGAGTACACAGAAAAAGAAACAGAGAGATGGGGCCCACCCCGCTGCATTCACAAGGTGGCCTGTAGCTCCCCTTTCAGGTGCGAGCACCGTCTGGGGAAAGCCGCCCGCTTTCAAGGCTGATGTCGGAGTGCGCACCGCGGCAACCCATGTTTCAACTCGGCTATATCTCGCTGTCAGCTCGGGGGGGAGGCGGAGAGAAAGAGAGAGAGAGAGAAAGAGAGAGAGAGAGAGATAGAAAAAAAAAAAAAAAGAGAGAGAGAGAGAATGAAAGAAAAACAAACAAAAAAGTTAGAAATAAAGAACCAGAAAGAGAAAGAGAGAGCACTGAAAGCATCAGCCGTTCGCGAGTCCCTGCTTCGGCCCAGGTCGCGGCGCCCGGTGCCCTTCGCGCTGGAGCTGCTGGCCCTCCTGGGCGTGGCCCTGCCCTGCCTCGCCCTCGGCCAGGGCCACGGCTGCGCGCTGCGCGGGTGGCTGGCCCTCGGCGGCCTCCTGCTGTGCTCGCCGCTCCTCCTCCTCGGCGCCCTCTGGCGGTGGCGGCGGGAGCAGCTGCTCTGGCGGCTGGTGGCCGGCAGGTACGCGGTCGGCGCCAAGGATGAGGGAACAAAAAGTGGCATCAACATAAAAACTCGGAGGTCCGCGCGGATTTCTCGGATTGGCGCCGGAGGCGCCGCCAGGGGGCCCCAGCGCCGATCCGAGAAATCCGCGCGGACCTCCGAGTTTTCATGTTCATGTATTTTTGCTTGTTCCCCTAAAGGCTGCCAGGGCCCCGTGGGCGTGGGCGCCGACGCGCGAGCTGCACGAGCTCCAGGCCAGGTGCCGCAGAAGAAGGGCACCCTCCCGCCCGTGGCACGAAGGTCGGAGTAGAGAGAGGACGAGCAGGGGGGAGGTGGAGCCGCGAGCGTCGCCGAAGGGAGGTGCGTCGAAGGCAGGCGGGGGGCGAGGGTGAGCTGGAAGGGCCGCGGGAGGAGGGATTTGGGCGGGATCGAGGGAGAGAGGGGCAGGGAGGGGACGGGAGGGGTGGAGAGGGGAGGTGGGCACAGGCAGGAGAGGGAGGGTGGGGGGCAAGCTAGGCGCGATCGCGCCTCGTCTGACATCCTATCTTTCCCTCCCATCCCTTCCCATGGCGCTGATTTTTCTCTATCCGCGGACGCGTGTCATAGCCGAAGTGCGATTCACACATAAAGACCACTTCGTGTCAGGCGCATTCGGAACAAAGGGGAGCTGCGTGCACAGGAGGAGGAGGTTGCGGGAGAGCAGGAGGATGAGCAGGAGGAAAAGGATGAGGACGAACAGCAGCAGCAAGAACTAAAGCGGAAGGACAAGGAGGGAAAGGAGGATCAGGGGAAGGCGGAGGAGGGGAAATGAGGGGGGCGACAACGATGAATAATGGCCCGGATCAGAAAAGTGGCCCGCGCTGGGGTGAGACGAAGAGCAGCAGCAGCAGCAGCAGCAGCAGCAGCAGGAGTTGGAGTGGAAGGAGCAGGAGGAACAGGATGACCAGGGGAAAACGGACGAGGGGAAATGATGGGGGGGACTACAATGGAGCAAGACTCGGATCCTGAAAAGTGGCCCGCGTTGGGGCGAGAGCGCCAATCTGAACGACGGGAGCAACGCGCCGATCCGATGATGAGGCCCACTCTGCAGAGGGAGCACCATTTCGAAACACCGAAAACAGTTGGATAAATCCATATGGAAAATCAATGGTTGAAATCCTTTGTGTCGGAAAAAAATCGGAGGGGGCTGTATATCTTCCGGACAACTTCAGGGGAGGAGGGAGGAGGGAAAGGAGGGCCAGGAACTGGGCGGGAAGAGGTGGGAGCGGGGAGAGAGGATTTGGAGGGGAGGGGAGCGGAGGGGCGGCAAGGCGGAGAGGCGGCGAGGGCGTCCTGGCTCCGTCTCCCAGAAGGCGCCAGACGGCCCACAGCAGTTGCCGGGCCCCACGTCCTTCGGCCATTGGTGGTGCTACAGGCGGCGGAGGGGGCAAGGTCGAAAGGCGACATATTTCTCGCCTCCTTTCCTCACTCCTCCCCCTAACGTCATCGTCCGTCCTCTCTCTTCTCCCCTCGCCCTCATCCCTCCTCCACCTCCTCCTCCTCCTCCTCCTCCTCCTCCTCCTCCTCCTCCTCCACCACCTTCTCTTTCTCCTCCTTTTGCGCTGTACCGACGTAGACTGACGAGACCAGTCGCGCCTTACCGCTGAACTGCAAGACGAACAAATGCCTCAGAACAGCGGGCGGCCCCCCCACACACTCCTCCCCCTTTCCCCTCCTCTCCTTCTCCTCCACCCCCTCCTTCTCCTCCCCTGTCGAGGAGGGAAGTAGCGATGGACGGAAAGGGCCAAGGCGGGCGCGCCCCCGAGGCGGGCCACCGCGTCCACCAACGAGAGCGCTGGGGAGACGGTCTTCCGCGCGCGGGTGGAGCGGGCGAAGGACGCCGCCTCCTCCTCATCTTTCATCTCTCCTCCTCATCCTTCCTCTCTCCTCCTCATCCCTCCCCTCTCTACCTTCCTCCTCCTCCTCTTCCTCCTTTCCTCCTCCTCTCCTCTCTTCCTCCTCCTCCTCCCTCCTCCCTCCTGCTCCTCCTCCTCCCTCCTCCTCCCTCCCTCCTCTCCCCTCCTCCTCCTCCTCTCCTCCTCCTCCTCCTCCTCCTCCTCCTCCCCCTCCCCCTCCCCCTCCCCCTCTCGAGTCGATGAAGTTAGTCAGGGTATTTCGTCCTTTTCCCCTTCTCCCAGAGCATGTGCGTGCATTTCCTGTCGTTTGCCGCTGCCACTGACGTTCAAGCTCGGGCGAGTCAGGGGCCCACACGGTGCTCACAGCCCCAGACTCCGGCCGTCTCGCCGAGCAGCGCCCAGGAGAAAAAGCCGTGCTAGACACCCCATACTCTCCGCCAAGTGTGCCCTCCATATCACCGCTCACAGGCCGGGACCCGACGCCGACGGTGTGGACGCGAATTCCTTCAGTGTGAGCGCGCTCGTGCGCATTGTCCATCTATTTTTCTCCGACGCCATCCTGGCATGGCAGTCAGTACCTAGGTACGCATAGTGGATATTCCTGCAGTCCCAGAATTGCTCGACCTCATTGGACATCTTGCGGTTGCTGACGATACAAACAGACTACGCATCACAGTATGGCGCAGAGAGCTGTGGCAAAGACTCTACGACGATCGGGTATACACATTGGCGATGCAGCCGGCACCTATTCGCAGAACGCCGCCCTCAGAACCAGAGGTCGGCCCAGACCCACGTGGACCTCCTCCGCCACACCCCCCGGCGTCCTCTTCCGCGGGAAGCTGGCGGTACCAGCCTGGTTGGAGTCGCTCGCCAGATCCCCACAGGACTCCCGACTCCCCGTTCTCCGACCCACTCCTCGACACGAGGCGCCAGGACGACTGCTGGGCATGCTGAACATAAGGCATATCATCGGGAAGCGGCTGTTTTCTTACATCAGTTCTCTTTTGTTGTCCGTGTCATGTGGATGTGGATGGTGCGAAGGCGGAACTACACCTTATAGATCTCGGCTTCCATGGTCGAATTCAGAGTACAGCTGGTATCGCCGCGGCTGAACTTTCATCCAGAATACTACCTCGCCCCACCCACCCCCAAAGCCACTTGTGGATCGATTTCAGGATACCGTTGCGTCCACTTGGTATTGACTCTCCAGTCCGACGGCGTCGTCGACTCTCAATGATACTACACCACCTTGGAGGCTAACTCTTTCGCAGTGGGAGGAAGCCGTTTCTTCGTGGGCAGGCTCTCTTCTCGGCAGTGGCGCATATCACGATTGTGTCAGGTATCTTACGTCTTCACCGTGCATTCCAGCAGGCTCCAACACCGTCGCGGGCAGCAAATGTACTTGGGCTGCTCCCAGCGGAATGGCCCTATCTCTGCAAGCATTTGAATCCAGGTGGCCGCATTGCCCACTGGGTGCGACAAGCGTCGATTGCATTCATCACACATGGCGCAGCTGAGCTCTCATCGAGTGTCTATGTTCTGTACAACCAGGTTAGCATGTACGCAGGCATGACACATCTCAGACGTGCGCGGATTTCTGGAGTTGCAGGCAGACTATCCGAGCATATCAGGTGCATCAGTTGTCCATCACACGGCGACGGCAACCGACCCAGGTACGCTCTTCTCCGCAGAAGTCTCGGCGACCTCGCGCTCTTACCAGCGCTGTTCATGCCGACGGCTTCCGCGGCATATCATTATGAGGCTTTGATGATACGACGTTCCCAGCCCCTCTGCAACCAGGCAGACCCCATCGCGGGACACCAAGCAGAAGGCGGCCAGGGGAGACCATCCAATACAAGGCGTTCGACTCCATCGTTCTCCCCGCAGACGCCCACCACGCTGGAGGCGCACGCGGATATCCCATTCTCGTGCACCCCCACGGCCCCAGTCTGCGCAGCCAGACGTCATCCCGCCCCATCGCTCCTCAACACGGTTGCTCCTATTGCTGATCTGTGTCCTGGCACACTGTCTGACACGGCTTTTTCCCCAGCCCTCCACGTGGCACAGCAGCGCCGACATCGTGCCGACACGGGCGAAGTGGGCCCACCATGGCAGTGGGAACGCCAACGAACCGGTCGATCGTCGGCGTGGCTCGCACGCCCGCACCTTCCCCTTCGGACGCCACGGTGGCCTTTGCAGCAGCTGGTTTCCTCCTTAGCATGGACCGCGACCTTGGCCCCCGATCTGCCCCAGTCGCACAATCGCACAGCTCGCGCGCTCAAGTTGATCGACGTCATGCTCGGGCGCCTTGGACCCCCGTGCATACGTATCCCGCTGCGCTCAGAAGTTATGCGCTCGGCATCCACAGCATCAGAGGTGGATCCGCAGCAGGCCCGCGTTCACGCCCTGCCGCCAACCGACGACGGAGGACAGGGTCAATGCTCCGACGTTCTGCCACACCTACAAGGTGAAGGACCTACATCGACCGACACAGCGCCCGCACCCCACCCCCCCTCCACATGGTCTTCTTTGCCTGCGAGGTACGTGGCGTCATCTACGGTGGCCCCCACCTAGGTCGAGGCGGCTCAGCGCGCGGCACTTGTCTACTGTCGGGGCCAACGAGTCGGTATCCATCGCGCTCCGCCACGCCGTGCACTTACCAGGCTACGCGCCAGCCCGAGCTCTCCACGCACGGCGACGGGCCCAAGCAGGCATCCAACATCAGGCAGGCGTTCTACATCGGCGACCTCGGCATCCCCGCCACCATCCCCGATGGGGGGGCACCCCCAGGGCCCGCTGCCAGGCGAGCCACCGCATGCACAGGCAGAGCTTGAGCAGGCGATGTCAGTCGTATTGGACTTGTGCCATCATCATTGGTGGTGATAGAAATACTGATCGCATCTGGTCTGCGTGCGGAACTGACCTAGCTCGCTACTTGGTCGAATCAATTCCTGAGGATCCAGCGTGGAAGCCCCGCCCTGATCCCTTGGAAGAAGATGCCCGCGCGCGGGCGTGGGCAAGAGCACAGTCAGCCCTCCCCCCGTGGCTCCGTGGCCCATCTCAGCTTGCACACCCTCTGACCTCATCCCGCGCGAAGTAAGTAGCCCACAGCTGTTGCAAACGGGTAATTGACACATCAGGGTCCTCTGGCACGCACGGTTCCCGCAGCATCGGGCACGCTGCCCGGAGTTTTTTGCAGCGGTCCGATGCTGGACGCGAGTGTTTGATATCAGGTTCGCCGCTGACGATGTTCGTTCCCCTCGCGCGGGTCTCCTCGCTGCCCCCCACGCCTCGTTGTCGTCGGCGTGGCTGCGCATTCTCAGACGCGAGCGCGGCGTCATGCGATGCGGACCAGGCGCATGAGCAGCGTGGCGCAACGGCTATTGCGTCGGCATGGGCAGTCTTGAAGCAGACCATCCAGTCAGCGGCACCTTCTGAGGCTTGCCTGGCGAGGAGAGGCGACGCTCGCGGGCCCTCTCATCTGCGAAGTCCCTGGCCATGTCTGAGTCGGCGGCCCCACCGGGCTCCTTTCGCGCAACGATGTCGGATGCATCCTTAGCCTTGTCTGTCCACTGCCGGGCATCCCTGGTCAGCGCGTTCGGGATCACATTCGAGAAAAGGCCTCCCGATTGGCGCGCTAGCTGGGGTAGCTCCCAGTGTCATTTTGTTTTCAGGAGTTTAGGGCAAAACGCGGCCTGTCCCGCACTGTCCAGGAGGGTTTTCCACAACTACAGCCCCATGAGTCCTATGATGTGGCACTCCGTCGACTTGCCGCTGATATTCTGGGCTTGAGTACTTCGCTTTGTAGGGCGTGTACGGCACATTTCACACACACACTCACACACACACACACCACATACGACGTTAAGCACTCTACTACCTCGGCTCTCTCGTTATCCTCAGCTACTTGGCTTGATTTAGATGCGGTTGCTGTCGGATCGGTGGTCATCATCATCCAAAAAAAGACAATCGCGAATGGCTATACAACCAAACCAGGAAACGGAAGAGGGCGATGGTTCTACCCTGTGGTGGTGCTTTATCTCGTGGTTTTGCTGGTCCATCTAGTCTCATCACCAATCCACTCTCACGTGCTCGCTCCATGAGACTTTCGGCGTTTATGGCTTCGTACTGGCTGCTCGAGCTTCTCCTCGAGATGTTTCTCCTCGGCTACCCGGCGCCTCTCCTTCGTGCTCTAATTCATCGATGTCCGTGGAGCTTGGAGGTTCAAGAGGCCCGCTGCCATCTCAGGCTGCGGCTCCGACTGCTTGGACATTCACCCTGACGCCAGACGACGGGGCCCCCGTGGAGCGGCTGCAGTTACACCGCGCGCGGCAAGGGCCACGGCGGCGACAAAGGCTATCCCAGAGACGGCGGCGATGGACGCGGCGACCGCCGCGACGGGGACGACCGCGGCGATCGCCGCGGCTGGGACCCCCACGTTGGCGGCACTCGCGATGGCCAAGAAGGTCGTCGAGCTCGGCGCCGGCCCGGCGGCTGCACCTCCGACTCGAGCGACGAGGCCACGAAGTCCAGGGAGATCCAGCGAACCAGATGCTTCCTAGCCAAGACGGGCCCCGAGCACGCGAACTTCTTCGCGGAGACCCGCCAGGCCAAGAACGAGGAGCAGCTGCGGGCCCAGGGCAAGATCCTCGCAGAGGCCACGAAGTCCAATTCCGAGGAGCACATGCTGAAGATCTGTGGCCAGAGCTCTGGTCCCCAGTCGGTGGCCGCTCCACCAAGCGCTGGCCCAGGTGGACTCGTACCAGGCATGCCGTCAGCGAGTGGTGCGACTACGACGGCATTTCCTCCGGTTCGGCCGACGCCACCGACCACGCCAGGCTCGTTGTCACAGACGGCGAAGGCCTGGCTCCAGAGCCTCGTCGGCGCGGCGACGGTGCCCCCAGGACCACTCTAAGGAGAGCACCACGAATTTCCTCGCCGAGTGCATCTCCAAGGACAGCGAGGCGAAGGAGAGGGCCAGGTTGATGATCGCATCGGTCGACGCGGAGAAGTCCATCCCGAGACACTTCAAGCAGCGGGCGCCCCGCGCTGCTGACATCCCCCACGGGCCTGAGTGACATCGGGTTACGTTTCAGTTCAAGCATCCGAACGAGAGAGACCTCAAGCCAAAGGGTCTCACAAAAGTACACGGTGGAGTTTCATGAGGGACACGAGTGGTCTCACAATTGCATGTTGTTCTACATGGTCTTCTCTGCACTCCCCAGCCATCCCGTCTCCATCCAGTTCCGAGTTTCCGTTCAGTGGTCAGCACCAGTAATCACCAGTAGATCAATGGCAGTTGGGTAAACGTCGATAAATTGCAGCGTTTTGGCGGCAGCCCGCCCTGCTTTCCAAGGTCAGTCCTCTCCGTGTTCAGGGTCAACAGAGTTGCGCGTGATAATCACACGAATTCTCCGTGTAGTATGTGGTCTGGTTGTGTGCGTACTATGCTATGAGGCTTGCTGGTCGCACTCAGGTGTTTCTTCGGGTGAAAAATTTGACTCGGGTCCAGATGTCAGCTACATGAGTGTCGCGGCCTCAAGCCCATCGTCATCGACAGTTTCAGCTGATATGGATCGGTCCTCTTTCATGGCGATCTCTGATGTCGCGCAGGCCTGGTGAACCCTGCGCGTCACACGCCGCACCGAGGCCAAGTACGTTCAGATGCTCGCGGACGCCGCGGGTTTCCGCTCCAGGCTCTACAGCCTCGAGAACGAAGCCGCTCTCTCGGCTTCCGCCAGCCGTGCTGTTGCCGCCGCACTTTCTTGGGCGACCCGTTGCGGCAGGAGTTGGATGGAGGTAGGTGGATCCCCTTGGCGTGGTGTGCGGTCAGGCTTTTGGCCTCCCACCATGATTGGGGGGCAGTCCTGCTCCCCCCCCCTCTCTTCTCCAGTCGATGAAGTTAGTCAGGGTGTTTCGTCATATTCTCCTTCTCCCAGAGCATGTGCGGTCATTTCCTGTCGTTTGCCGCTGCCATTGACGTTCAAGCTCGGGCCAGTCAGGTGCCCACACGGTGTTCACAACCCCAGATTCGGACAGCTCGCCGAGCAGCGTCCAATAGAGAAAACCGTGCTAGACACCCCATACCTTCCGCCAAGTGTACGTTAATCCTCCTCCGACTACTCCTCCTCCTCGTCCTCCTCCTCCTCCTCCTCATCCGCCCCTCCTCCTCATCCTCCTCCTCCTCTTCATCCTCAACATCATCATCCTCATCATCATCATCAGCATCATCATCATAATCGTCCTCCTCATCCTCCTCCTTCCCCTCCTCCTCTTCCTCCTCATCCTCCTCCTCCTCCTCCTCCTCCTCTTCCTCCCCCTCGCTCAGTGTCCCTCATTTTCGTCGTCCTCGATGAGGGCCCGCGGGACCTCAGCGTCTCGTGCGACTCGATGCGCCTGGACGGCAGCGCGGCCAGCTTCGCCATGGACGGCCCCAGAGGCCAGGGCGAGGGGGCAAAGCCCCGTCCTAAGCTCGAGTGCGCGCTTCAGCGGCCCATGATGAAGTCCATCGCATTCGGACGTTATCGTCGGTTTCTGAAGGTTTTCTTGCCTCGGGATGCGTTCCAGCAGCTGCGGCTCGCCGAGAGCGCTCCTGGGGTGCCCGAGTCGTCACGAACTGCCGCTGGAGGCCACACTAGTGACCAGAAAGCCACGCCCACAAATGACCCTTCGCCAGAGTGACCTTTGGTGTGGACCCACTGGGGTGCCTTGATCAGTGAACGCGATGCGACCTGCGCGCTAGGGTTTGCATCCCCCCCTGCACCCCCGTGAAACCTAGCACACCAGGTCACTATTGCCCAGGGGTATTCTTGCATGTAGCAGACAAGTGCATCCACAGGGAGGCATCGTCAGCATCACCATCACCATCAGCAGCAGCAGCATCACCATCAGCAGCAGTAGCATCATCAGCAGCATCAGCATCAGCATCATCATCAGCAGCATCGTCATCGTCATCGTCATCATCCTCATCAGAATTACCATCATCATCATCATCATCATCATCATCATCATCATCATCATCATCATCATCATCGTCATCATCATCAGCAGCATCAGCATCACCATCACCATCATCATCAGCATCATCAGCATCACAACCACCACCACTATCATCAGCAGCATCAGCATTATCATCGCCACGATCATCAGTAGCAGCAGCAGCAGCATCATCACAGTCCTCGATGCAGTCTTCAGGGCGGCCTGGCCTTCGGGGATCGCTCCTCGTCTCGTCCCCTCTTGATCTTCCTCCCTCGGGGGTAACAAGGGCTGTCGGACCGCATCTGCACTTGTCCGCGTGCCGCGTTCTGCTATTCGCCCCCCCCATCTGCCGCACACGGGGGCCCGTCGCCCCAGCCGGATGCCGCCAGGATGGTATCCGGGAGGGGAGCGCGGGGACGGGCTCCCAGCGGACCACCGCGTGCGGGAAGAGTGTCGGAATGTCATTCTCAATGCCGAGGCGCGCGGTGGACGAGCAGCGGCAGGAGGAGGAGGAGGAGGAGGAGGAGGAGCCCCAGCGGCCGTCTGGTGAAGCCGCGAGACCCGTGATCAATAGGAACAGGGCTTCGCGGCCGAGCTCCCAGTCGCAAGCTCCCCTCTGCTCCAGACGCGAGGGGGGTGCGAGAGGGGGGGGAAAGGCCGCACGTGCGACGGCGTGGCAGAATCATCACGTCTCATGATCCCACCTCGTAGGTGTGATCCAGGGCCTGCCGCGCACAGCAACCTTCGACGGGAACGCCATCTGCTGGGCGGCAGCTGCTGCCAGTCAGACGCCCAACGTGTGGGTCAAGGGGGGGATTTTCCGCCTGGAGTGGATCGCCAAGCTGTGCATATGCCTCGCTGGCCTCGGCCTGCTCACGATCGCCCTGGCAGCTGCCATCGAGCCGGGCATCAGCTTGCGCTGCTTCCCAGCGACGCCGATAGTTACAGAGCTCCACAGCCCGATGAACGCCGTCTTCTTGTTGGATGCTTCTGGCTCGATCACGGCCTCATGGGAGCTCGAGAAGGAAACCGCGGCACAGATCATCGATGCTTTCGACAGCGGAATGGCTGGCACTCTCCGTGTCGGTGCCACACAGTTCTCTGACTCGGCGACCGTAGAAGTGCCCCTCACTAGCGACGTTTCGAGCGCGACCAACGAGATCCATAGCATAGTCCAGAAGCAAAAAGCCGGGACTAATTTCGAGGAGGCCTTGCGTGCTTGCCAGGCTCAGTTGGATAGCACCAGCAGCAGCGTGACGGACACGCCAGTTCTCCCTACTTGTGGCCGCAAGGGCCAAGAGGACGGGGACTTTCAACTCAGGATCGTCAATGGCGAGCAGGCTTCGCAGTGCGAATGGGGCTGGCAGGTCAGTCTGCGCAAGTCCTGGGGTGCCCACTACTGTGGAGGGACGCTGATCTCTGACAAGTGGGTGCTCACAGCCGCGCACTGCGAATGGGCCCCTGGCGACTACGTCGTCGTCGGTGATTTCGACAAAGACTCCGACACGGACGCCTCTGCGCAGAGCGTCGATGTCGTGCGGGCCGTGACTCACCCGCAATGGGTGGACGAGCCGCTGCCGACCTACGACTTCGAGCTGCTGGAGCTCGCGGAGCCAGTGGCGCTTGGCGGCTGCGTGACCGCCGCGTGCCTTCCGTCGGGCGAGGTGCCCGTGGGGACGAAGTGCGTGACCACAGGCTGGGGCACGCTCTACACCGACGGGCCGTCGCCCGCCGCCCTGCAGGAGGCGCCAGTGGAGGTCCTGGACTCGCAGGCGCAGTGCAGCGTAGCCTACTACGGCATCCCGGGCGCGATGGGCGGCGAGATGATGTGCGCGCAGGGCCGCAGCCCCTCCACGGGGGACGTCACCGACGCCTGCCAGGGCGACAGCGGCGGCCCGCTGGCGTGTCAGAGCACGAGCGGCCAGTGGGTGCTGCACGGCGTCACCTCGTTCGGCGGCGAGTGTGCCGACCCCGACGTCCCCGGCGTGTGGGCCAGAGTGAGCGAGGTCTGGCTGCACGCAGCACGGCAGGCACACCAAGTTAGGAAGTCGGCCTGCCAGCAGGTGCACCACGGAAATGTCCTGACCCCCGCGTGCCCCAGGGGGTACCTTAGTGCCCCCAAAGATCGACGGAGAGTGTGCCCCATGATTTCTGATATCAGGACTTCTTATCGCGCGTGTCTACTGTAGATGGCTTTCGCCAGGATGTCATTTGGTGCGCGGCTTTGGGGGAGCGCGGGGGAGCCCAACCCGAGCACGCAGGCCACTGCTGACGCATCGTGCGCAACGATCGTCAAGCCGCGCACCAGAGGTCACCCCTGCCGGGGGCGATCTTGAGCCATTCATGCGTGTAGCCGAGAGGTCACGGATTGGATCCAGGGCGTCACCGACGTCCCGGACGATGATCTCGTGGCGATGGACGCCCCTTTTCTTGCGCCCACGGAGGATACCACCAGTCGAGCGCTCGACCTCTGCGTGCTCATCACGGACGGGCAGGCAACGTCGGGGGAGACGGATCCAGAGAAGTTGCGGGAGATGGTTGCGAGCAGCACTCGCATCCTCGGTATCTACGTGGGGTCCAACAGCGTGAGCCAGGAGGCCCTCAGGGCGATCACGTCCTGCGCGGACTCGCGGGATGACAGCTGCCCCTTCTTCGCCTCCGCCTCCGACTTCGCGGAGGTGCAGAGCAAGGCCGCCGCCCTGGTCGCAGGCCTGACCGCGCTCCTGGGCTCCGAGGAGGAGCGGGCACCCGACGAGGGCGGGCCCGAGCCGCCGCTCTGGGCGCTGTGCGGCCTGCTGGCCCCGCTGCCCGCCCTCGCGTGGTGGTGCCGCGGGAGGTTCTCCAGAGCGGCGCGGCGGCCACGCCGCCGGGCGAGTCCGTGGGGGATGCGGGGGGAGCGCAGGCAGGTCGGTTGCACGCAGGAGCGACCCGTCGCCAGAGTGACCTCTGGTGCGGACTCACAGGGCCAAGGGAGGGCCTCCTCCTCCTCCTTCTCCTCCTCCTCCTCCTCCTCCTCTTCCTCCTCCTCCTCCTCCTCCTCCTCCTCCTCCTCCTCCACCCGGACCCGACAAGTGGCTTTTATTGAACGGCCCTGGGCGTTTACCGGACAGCCCTGCCCCGTCCGATCCCTCCTGCGGGTGCGTTTGCCAGACGGCTTCGCGCGTCGGGGTGATCACCATAGAGGGGGTGGGTCTTCTGCCCTCAGCAGGGGGCCTCCTGGCGCTGGCTGGCGCGCTCGGATCTGGCCAGGCAGCGGCCCCCTGACGAGCTGCGCACCAGCGGCCGCTCCCCGCCCAGGGCCCCACTCCTCTTGCGTGCAGTCGCGCAACGGCCTCGGGGCTCGGGCCGTCCTTCGAGGGAGGGCCTCGGAGAGCGGCGGGGGCCGCCGAGGCCCCCGCCCACCGCTCGTGTGAAGTCGGGCACGTCCCTCTACTGGAGGAATATTCACAAATAGTCAAACAGAAATCGTATGGGGACGATTGTATGACTACTGTTGAGCATTTTCGGAGTACGCTTAGACTCTCTTATATGTTTTCACCCAAATCCACCTGTAGGGGGACATGCCCGACCTAACGCTCGTGCGGAGGCGAGCCGCGCGGCCGGCGTCCTCTCCGGGGTGGATCTGTCGAGGTCGCAGCCACCACGCCGTCTTTCCGGCGGCGAGCCTGGGGGGGGAAGTGAGGAGTGGCGGGCCTTCTCAGAGCGCTCGGAAGTCCCCCGCCCTCCTGAGGAGTTTCCCTCGGCCTCCCCCGAAGGCACAGGGGAGCTCTCAGAAGGCGCGAGAGCTTCTCAAGAAGCCCCGCCGCCTTCTGAGAAGGCCTTCTCCCTCCCGTTTCCCCCCCTCGCTCGCCGCCGAGTCTTGGGACAGGTTCAGCTATTGTCAGGGGCGGCGCAGATGGCCTCCCGAGCATCCCCCACGAGGCCTTGGGGTGGCCCCAGAGGTCCCAAAATGGCGCGAAGAGCCGGGGACACCTTAGGCCAGGACGGCCTCTCGGGTGTTGCGAGAAGTACTCCTGGCCCAAGGTGCCCTCCTGGATTTCCAGGGAGGCCCCCGCGGCTTCCAGAGCACCCCTTACGAGGCCCAGAGGGCCCCAGGGGCTCCAAACTTGGGCCAGGGGACACCTCTAGCAACCCCCGAACCTCCTTAGCAGCGCCCGAAAAAGTTCGAGTAGGGGATCGACTACAGATCGATTTACCCCAAACTTGATGTTCTCATCAAAAAATATACGACAAAAAATCGCGTTTCCATGGCTTCGACGAGAAAAATTATCCTGGCGATGGACCCAACCATATGCAGTTACGAGTACCGCAAAGCAGGTTGAACGAATGAGAGGGAAACCCCTAAGGGGCCACGAAACGTGTGAGGGGTGTGCCGAAATGGGTGCGGTGCCGCCATGCCAACGCAGCCACTGGGGCCCTCGGTGGAGCTCCCTATGGGGGCACGAAACGTGTGAGGGGTGTGCCGAGATGGGTGCGGTGCCGCCATGCCAACGTAGCCACTGGGGCCCTCGGTGGAGCTCCCTATGGGGCCACGAAACGTGTGAGGGGTGTGCCGAAATGGGTGCGGTGCCGCCATGCCAACGCAGCCACTGGGGCCCTCGGTGGAGCTCCCTATGGGGCCACGAAACGTGTGAGGGGTGTGCCGAAATGGGTGCGGTGCCGCCATGCCAACGCAGCCACTGGGGCCCTCGGTGGAGCTCCCTATGGGGCCACGAAACGTGTGAGGGGTGTGCCGAAATGGGTGCGGTGCCGCCATGCCAACGCAGCCACTGGGGCCCTCGGTGGAGCTCCCTGGGGCCACGAAACGTGTGAGGGGTGTGCCGAAATGGGTGCGGTGCCGCCATGCCAACGCAGCCACTGGGGCCCTCGGTGGAGCTCCCTATGGGGCCACGAACGTGTGAGGGGTGTGCCGAAATGGGTGCGGTGCCGCCATGCCAACGCAGCCACTGGGGCCCTCGGTGGAGCTCCCTATGGGGCCACGAAACACGAAACGGTGTGAGGGGTGTGCCGAAATGGGTGCGGTCCGCCATGCCAACGCAGCCACTGGGGCCCTCGGTGGAGCTCCTTATGGGGCGACGAAACGTGTGAGGGGTGTGCCGAAATGGGCGCGGTGCCGCCATGCCAACGCAGCCACTGGGGCCCTCGGTGGAGCTCCCTATGGGGCCACGAAACGTGTGAGGGGTGCGCCGAAATGGGTGCGGTGCCGCCATGCCAACGCAGCCACTGGGGCCCTCGGTGGAGCTCCCTGTGGGGCCACGAAACGTGTGAGGGGTGTGCCGAAATGGGCGCGGTGCCGCCATGCCAACGCAGCCACTGTGGCCCTCGGTGGAGCTCCCTAGGGGGCCACGAAACGTGTGAGGGGTGTGCCGACATGGGTGCGGTGACGAGGGAGGGGGCAGCGGGAGGAAGGAAGGAGTGAACGCGGGGCGCTGTCTCTTCAAAACGAGGACCCAACACCACAGGATGGTTGGGAAAAAAGTTGGGAATACATCGATTCTGCAGTCGATCCCCTACTCGAAAGGTGCTACCTGCACTGGCGGCCCCGGGGCGCCGCGCCTCCCGCCGCCGCCGCCGCGGCGCCCGCGCGCAGGGACCCCGCGAGGCTGCGGGCCGCCGGCCGCAACAGCAGCCCGGGGGGCGGGGGGAAGCCGGCCGCCCGCGGGCCGGCGGGCGCTGTCCTACCCGTCGCGAGCGCGGTCTGAGCTCGGCGCGGTCGGTGCTCGGCGGCGAGCGGGGGGGGGAAGTGAGAAGGAGAAGGCCTTCTCAGAGGGCGGCGAAACTTCTCAGAAGCCCTCGCGCCTTCTGAGAAGTGTTCTGCGCATTCGGGGAAGGCTCAGAAAAATCCCAGGAGGCTGGGGGAGTTCCGAGCCTTCTGAGAAGGCCTCCTCCTCCTCATTCCCCCCCTCGCTCGCCGCCGAGATACAGCATTGCAGTCAGTTGTGTGTCAGTGTCACATGTACACTTGCGGACTTCATATGCCTCAGCCATTTCAGTCAAGAGCTGTCCTGGAGAGGCCCTGGGGCCGAAAGCTAGACAGAGCCACCGAAAAAAGGCACGGGCTTGAGAGCGCCATACGAGTCACGTGACCCGCATTAGAAGTTCGGCTCGAAGAAGAAAAAATGCCATAAACATAAACTTGTGGCGCTCCGCGCGGCTTTCTTGGATCCGCGCTGGCTCCCCCCAGCGGCGCCTCCGGCGCCGCCCGTAGCGCGCTCCCCGCGCCAGGGAGGGGGGCCCAGCGCAGATTCAAGAAATCCGCGCGGAGCGCCAAAAGTTCATGTTTATGGCGTTTTTGTTCTTCTAATGCAGTCGACCCGTATCAGAAGGACGCACGATAAGGATGCAAGGACCTTGGAAGGCAATTTATCAAAGCGTTCCGAGCGGGGTGCGGCCAAGGAAAGTGGCCAGGGATGGGCCGAGGAGGCAATGATGCAAGGGTACCCTTGGGGAGCTTGCCCATCCTTACTATGCGGGTGGACTGTGTGGGTAGGGAAACAATGGCGACGAAGACGTACAGCAGTCCCTGCCCGTTTTGAGCAGGAATCGGTGTCGCGGCGGACGTGGTCGGCTTGCGAGAGGTCGCCTGCCCAAGAGCTGCCGCTGTCGGATCTGGACAGCGTGTGTTATTGGGCGTCGTACCCCTCCATGCCCGTTCCCTCTGCGGGCGTCCAGATGAGCGGCGTGTCCTCCTCGCCAGGGCTTCCCTCGGGTCCGGGCCAAGCAGAAAGAAGACCCAGATCTCCAAGCATTTGGGTTTTTCAATCCTGGCGCTTTGCCCCGATTTCAGCCTCCAGCGCCCATTTTCGGGCCCCCGGGCTGTCAAAAACAGATCCAGGACTGAAAAATCGTGTTGGCGGATGTCTGCGAAGAAATGTGACGGTTGGTTGTTGCTCAATGCCTTGGGCCTTTTGAGGCCTTTTCGCAGCCCCAGGGACCGTCAGAAAGCGGGTCGGGATGACAAGCTGGCCCCATGGGAAAGGATCACGATCCCGGGGAGACAAAGCTCATTAGAATTTTGCGACGTCGGAGGAGAGTGTTCCCCTCCCTGCCTCGGCTGCGCATAAGAGTGGCCATCCGCCGGAGTGGCCTCTAGGACGTGCGCACTGGGGTCCCCAGATCGCTGAGCGCGATGCGATAGCATCGGCTTGCGCGCTTGAGTTGCCCACCCCACCATCCCACCACCCCTAAAAGATAAGCCGCGCACCAAAGGGCACGTTGACCTGAAGGCCATTTTTGCGGGCAGCCGAGTGCCAATTTGCTCTGCCAGTGGTCGGCATTTTTGTTGTGTTTGCTCGCGGGATACGCTAAGACCTATCCCATCGGCGGCAAACTTCGGGGACAGCGTCAGGGGGGGACCGGCTCGGGGTGGGGGGGGCGCATCTCAGGCGATCGCAAACATGGATTGGATTAGCGACGGGTCCCGTTTCCATGGGAAATCGCAGATTTCCGCCGCCGACCGAGGCGGCACCGGCCGCATTCTGGGGAGGGCACCTCCCCCGATCCATGGATTTGGCGACCCCGCGCCAAAGCCATGGATCGCTGATCCATGTTCGCGCGCCCCCGGAGCATCGACCCCCCATCGCCCACTCATCGCCAAGAGAGGCCCGAGAGGGCCCCACCCCGCCCAGGAGTGTGCGGATTCGCCGTCGGGGGCCCGTCGCCGACCTATCCGCGCTGTGCTCGACGCTTCCCCCCCCTGTGCAGGTCCCACTCTTGTTTCAGGCGATCGCAAACATGGATTGAGGGGGCCTGGATCCTCCTCCTCCGCCTCCTCCTCCGCCTCCTCCTCCTCCTCCTCCTCCTTCTCCTCCTCGGGTCGCCTACGGCCCTGGGGGAAGCCGTGCACTCAGGTGACCGTCCTCGGACCTGCTCTTGCATCAGGCGATCGCAAAAATGGATCAACTGGGCGTGGACTAGCGACGGGTCCCGTTTCCATGGGAAATCGCGGGTTTCCGCCGCCGAACGAGGCGGCACCGGCCGCACTCTGGAGAGGGCACCTCCCCAGATGCACGGATTTGGCGACCACGCACCAAATCCATGGATCGCTAGTCCATGTTTGCGCGCCCCCGATTGTTGCGTGATATCCGACCCCGAACTCCTCACACCTGCCCCGATGCAGCCCCGTGGCCCCCCGCGCCGCCGAGAGTGCCCGCGCCAGCGGCCGCGGGGGGGAGCACCGCGCCAGGGGCCGCTCCCGGGAGTGCGGCGGCCCCGGCGGCAGGGGCGTCTTCGGTTCCGTGGGGGGGGCATCGAGGATCGACGAGGCTGCGGCAAAGTATGATGCTGATGAGGAGGAGGAGGAGGAGGAGGAGGACGCTGAGCATGAGGAGGAGGAGGAGGAGGAGGAGGAGGAGGACGACGAGGAGGAGGAGGGGGGTGAGGAAGAGGAGGAGGAGGAGGAGGAGGAGGAGGACGAGGAGGAGGAGGGGGGTGAGGAAGAGGGGGAGGAGGAGGAGGAGGAGGAGGAGGAGGAGGAGGAGGAGGAGAAGGGGTGAAGGGTTGAGGATGGAGGAGAGGGGGGAGGGGGATTGCGGAGGCCTCGGGGGCCAACCCGCAGATCTGGGCGGCGCAACAAAAAAAATCTATTCTAAGAACAGAAAACGCCATAAACTTACGTCGGGCATGTCCCTCTACAGGCGGAATATGCAGGAATAGTTTAAAAATAGTGTGAGGACGAGGGTTCGACCACGTTTGACTATTTTCGCATATGTTTTGACTATGTCTCGTTTTTGTTCCAGAATCCGCCTGTAGGAGGACATGCCCGACCTAACCATAAACATAACTTCTCGGAGGTCCGCGCGGATGTTTAGGATCGGCGCTGGGACCCCCCCGGCGACGCCTCCAGCGCCGCCCTTGGCGCCCTCCGCGCGCCAGGGAGCGGTGTCCAGCACAGAGCCAAGTGCTCCGCGGGGAGCTCCGAAAGTTCTGGTTTCGGGAGGAGAAAAAACACACAGACACAATGAATCGTCGACTCCCAGGAAAACATGGGAAGATATGGGAAGCGGGGGGGGAAGACGGAAGCCCAGAAAACATAGGAAAATATTGGGAATATTGGGATTTGTGCGTTTTTGTTTAATCGTTTCGTTCATTCCGCCGGCCCTGGAGCCATCTTTAGGGCCTCTTGGGAGCCTCTTGGGGACCTCTTGGGAGTCTTTTGGGGCTCCTTGGCGGCGTCTTGGGGGCCTCCAGGGCCTCTTGGGGGGCTCTTGTGGGCCTCTTGGGGCGGGAGGGGGGGTAGTCGATTGCGCCCCCCCCTCGGAGGCCACGATCCTCGTGAGGGGTGTATAAAAATTGCCTGGTCCGGCATCTCTGACCCGACCTTCCCGGGACTTGCCCGGGGACCCCCAGGGGCCGCCCCGCGCGCGCGAATTAGAAAGATTGTTAACCAGTTACCGGAGATCGTAGCACGCCTTTGGCCCGTTGGGCCGGCGAATTTGTGTGTCTTGGGGCCCCTTCAATGTTTATATTGTTGTTTTCTTCCTCCATCGACGCCGAGTGTTCTGGCGCTCCTGGCCTCTGGAGGCCGTTGTCCAGGCCCCGGGGCCGTCGGAGACGTCCATCTCCACGACCTCCCCCATGGGACGGAAGGACAAAATCTGCCTTGCTGGGACAAGCGTCCCAGTCTGCTTGCTTCCGCCTGTCGAATGGAAGGCCAGGTAGGCCACGCTGGCCCAGTGTACAGCACGCACGGCGTGCGTACAGCACAGACACTGGGGATGGCCTCAGCAGGCCCTCACCTGCAATGTTTTCAATGCTTGGCAACTGCTGCCCGTGCACATGGCTGCCGAGCTGGCAGTGCAGGTATTGCCATCTGAAGGTATGGTTGACGTAGCGTCGAGATTTACAGTGGGGCAGTCTGCTGCGCCTGTTGCACGCCATGTCATCAGAGCAGCCATAATTAACTTTTGATTGACAACGTCTTGAACGGCGACCCCATGACCTTGCTTCCATGGCAACGTCGTGCCAGCATGACAGGGTCCGCAGCGCATGCGGTTGCAAAGAGCTGGTTCACAAGGAAATCGGCCAATCGCAGCCACAATAAGCACCAGCTGCGGCGACATTCGTGATCGAGTTGCTACTCCGCGACGGCTCTCCGCGCATGCATGCGGAGAGCAGCGCGAACCTTACAGCCAGCGCCAGAGGAAGACGCAGGGAGTTGCCTCCCCCATCTCCCCCTCCTCTGTTGCCCTCCTCGCCGCAGGGTGCTCTCCCAGCTCGGACCGAACGTGGACCCCCTTCCTCTCTTCTCCTCGACGCCGCACGGCGCTCCACCAGCCCAGAACGAACGTGGCACCCTCTCCCCTCGTCTCCTCAGCGCAGGGCGCTCCACCAGCTCGAGCCGAACGTGGACCACCCTCCTCTCTCCCCCTCGACTGCGCAGGGGGCTCCACCAGCTCGAACCGAACGTGTACCCAGACATCGGACGATGTGTTTTTCGATCCAAGGTCCCGACACAATTCCCCTGCGTTGCTTTTCCGTCCCGGATCAATTTTTTGACGGCCCCGGGCCTGGAAACCGGCCCCCCGAACGCGGAAATCGAGGAACACAACACCGGCTGAAAGAAACACGTCGTCGGAGATTTGCATACCCCCCCCCTCCCTGGCGGCGCGCACAAGGGGTGCAGGAGTAGAAGGGAAGAAGACTCCTTAGAAGGAGGCTGCTTCTTGGAAGGCACGGGCCTCGTGGGCCGGCGCCTTCTAAGAAGCAGCCTGATTCTAAGAAGTTTCCCCCCTCGCCCTACCCCTCCTCCTCCTCCTCCTCCTCCTCCTCCTCCTTCTCCTCCTCCTCCTCCTCCTCCTCCTCCCTCCTCCTCCTCCTCCTCCTCCTCCTCCTCCCTCCTCCTCCTCCTCCTCCTCCTCCTCCTCCTCCTCCTCCTCGGTATGGAATAAGTTGGCCTGTATATGATATGCGACGTTCGAGTGATGGCAGCGCCCCGGCGCCACCGCCTAGCCCCGCGTAGGGCCGCCCCCCCCGGGACGACGTAGGCGCTGCCTCAGCCTCAGCCTCAGCCTCGGTCGGGCAGGGCCGATCCCACGGCCCGAGCTTGCCGGTCGATCGGGCACGATCGAAAGCATCACATTGCAACCTCGAGAGCGCCGAGACAACGACAACGACGATCACAACGGTGATCACAACGGTGATCACAACGATCACAACGGCAACAATAGTAACAACGGTAACAACGATCACGACGACAACGATCACAACGATCTGCAGCCTCGAGAGCGCCGAGGTCGGGTCCCTCCTCGAGCTATATACAGGGGGTGGACCCGCCCGCGCTCGGCGCAGTGGCCCTGCCCAGAACTGGCGGCCTCCAGAAAGGGCCTGGCTTTCGAGGGGCGAAGGACCGTTAAACATCGACCGAGAAAGACACGAGGACCTCCTCGTCCTCCTCCTCCTCCTCCTCCTCCTCCTCCTCCTCCTCCTCCTTCTTCTCCAGTCCTCCTCCTCCTCCTCCTCCCCCTCCTCCTCCTCCTCCGCCTCCTCCGCCTCCTCGCCAGACCCCCTCGAGTCTTGGAAAAATTACGACGGGAGGTTTTTCCTTATTTGGGAGCCCGTACTAGGCCTCGGGAATGTCAAGAAACGCCTATCTCGGGAATGTCAAGAAACGCCTATGGATAAAAAAACGGTCGCGGGGAAGGGGTCGAGACCTCTGGGGGTCGACGTCATGAAGAAATCATGACGTCGTGGGTCTGGGGAAGTAGCCGCCATCTCCTCCACGGCGGAAGCCGGTGAAAGCAAAACGAGGCCGCCTCCGAAGGCGGAAGCCGGCGGAGGTAAGAGATGCGTCCCCAAGGGATGGCAACATTTTTGGGTTCAAGGTTTCCCGAATCCGCCAACTCCAGCCCGCAGCTCCGACGCGCTGGCAAACAAAAAATAACAAAACGGACGTCTCCCGCAGCTTTGGGCCTCAGAGAGGCCCGCACCAGGCCCCAGGAGAGTCACAGAACAACTCGGGACGAGAAGCTGGCCTTGGAGAGAAGGTAGGGATTTCCAGGGAATCCGTTGTTCAATATAGATATATGTATATATATACACACACATACATATATATATATATATATATACATATATACCTACCTACCTACCTACCTATCTACCTACCTACCTACCTACCTACCTACCTACCTACCGACCTACCGACCTACCGACCTACCGACCGACCTACCGACCTACCGACCTACCGACCTACCGACCTACCGACCTACCGACCTACCGACCTAGCGACCTACCGACCTACCGACCTACCTGCATGCATGCATTCATGCATGCATACATACATATCAGCATATATGCATGTATACATTCATGCATGCATGCATGCATACATACATATACATACATGCATACTTACATCTATACATACATACACATACACACATACATACAGACAGACAGGCAGACAGGCATGCATGCATGCGTGCATACAGACATGCATGCATACAATCATACGTACACATATATATAGGCATTCATATATATATATATATGCATATACATATACATATACGTATACATGTATATATATATATATATATATATACATATGCATCCACATGTACTTATACATTACTCCATTTTCTATATTATTGAATCGCTTCGCTCATTCCGCCGGCCCATACGGTCTCATGTCTGCCGTTTGCCCGAGGGCCTGGTGTCAATGCGGCGCTTTGGGGGTTCCTGGGGCCGCTTGGGGGACTCCTGGGGCGCTCGGGGGGGCATTTGGGGGGCCTCCTGGGGCCGCTTGGGGGACTCTTGGGGGCCTCCTGAGGGCCTCGTGGGGGCCTCTTGGGGCCTCTTAGGGGCCTCTTGGGGCCTCGTAGGGGCTTCTTAGGGCCGAGGGCGCGAAATTTTGTTTCGTGTTCCCTCTCTGGGGCCCCTTTGGGGGTGTTCTTGGGGCCCTCTTGGACCGTCTTGGAGGCTTCTTGGGCCGTCTTCGAGCCCTCTTGGGCCATCTTGGGGCCCTCTTGGGGGCCTCTTGGGCCCTCTTGGGGCGATCTTGGGGGCCTCTGGGGCCGTCTTGGGGCGTCGGGAACCGAAAAGGTGGAAGCTCCAAAATCTCTCAAAAACCTAAGGAAAAACAATGAATTTTGCCTCCGGGGGCCCTCTTGGGAGTGCTCTGGGAGGCCTCTTGGGGCGTCTGGGGGCTATCTTGGGCGTCTTGGAGCGATCTTGTGGCATGTCGGACCCCTCGTGTACCATCTTGGGGGCCTCTTGGGGGCCTCTTGGCCTTTCTTGGGGCTCTCGGGGACGTCTCGGAGCCCTGTTGGTGCGCTCATGGAGCGCTCCTGGAGCGCTCTGGGGGACTCCTCCCGGGACTCTCTCAGGACCTTGCCGGGGTACTTTTCGTCCGGGGACCCCCAGGGGCCGCCCCGCGCGCGCGAACTAGAGAATTCTTAACCAGTTACCGGAGATCTTAGCACGCCTCTGGCCCGTTGGGCCGGCGAATTCTCATCTAATTTTCCTGAACAGGACACCTCCAAATCCTTGGCCCGGGGCACCCTGGACGCCCTTGCAGACGGTCCCCTGTGCTTTCCGGGGCTTCTGAAGCCCCTGCTGGGCCTAGGTAACGGGCCCAAATCGGTCAGAAGAGCGGCCGGATGGCCCCGCCGGAGCCCACAGAGGCTCCAGACACCCACCAGACGCCCCAAGACGACCGAAAGAAGAACCCCAAGAGGCATTTGAAACGCAAAATAACATTGATGTCCTATAGTTGTGGTATAATGTTGGGAATGCTGACTTCTTCCATCTTCCGGGCGTCTGAGACCGCTCAGGAGGCCAGAGAATCGCCCCAAATTTAACCAAGAGGGCTTCCAGGCAGTCCAAGAGGAGCCCCAAGACGGCCCAACAAGGCCCCAAGATGGCCCGAAGAGAGCCCCATGACGGCCCAAGATGGTCCCAAGACGCCTCCCGAATCATTCCAAATCGTGACCTGGTCGTCCAGGGAGACCGCGGTTGGAAGCAGGGTGGCCCAGTAAAGCCCCCAGAGGCCCAAGCTGAGCGTCTTGGGGCTTCTTTGGGGCTTCTCGGGGCTTTTGAGGACAACTTGGGGCCTCTTGGGGAGTCTTGGGGGCCCCTCGGGACCCTGTCGGAGGGCCTCCTGGGGGCCATCTTGAAGCCTTCCCTCTGGGGGCTCTCTTCGTGGCATTTGGGCCTGTGTCGAGGTTGCCGCGAGCGATATTGGGCCGCTCCGCGAGGTCCGGGAGGCCCAAGTGGCGGCTCCGCGAGGTCTGGAAGGCCCAAGTGGCGGCCCGAGTGGAGTACCAGAGAGAGCCTCAGGGACCCCTGGGGCCTCTGGGGCCCGCCAGATTCTATGCCGCCCATCTGTGTCAGTTGCCTGGTGTGAGATCATTGAGATAGGATTAACGTATGTGTATAGATACATATACATATACATATACATGTTCATCTACATATACGTATACAGGTATACAGGTTCATGTGCAAACACCTATACATACCGACATATATACATCCATGCATACAGATATACATACATACATACACACACATATGTATGTACATGTATGCATGCACCCATACATACATATACGTGCGTATGTGTACAACTGTACATGTTTGGAAAACATGTAATGGCATCTGTTTACTTGTGTACATGTATGCTTACAGTTATATATGTATATATACATGGCCCGCGGCGCCACACACACACACACACACACACACACACACACACACACACACACGCGCGCGCGCGCACACACACACACACACACACACACACACACACACACACACACACACACTCTCTCACACACACACACACACACACACACACACACACACACACACACACACACACACACACACACACACACACACACACACACACACACACACACACACACACACACACGCGCGCGCGCGCGCGATCGAATTTCGACCACCCCAGGCGCCCAGGAGGCCCCAAGACGGCCCCAAAGAGGTCCAATAGGGTTCCAAGAGGGCCCAGGAGCGCTCCAAGACGGCCTCATATTGCTCCGCGACAGTTCAAGAGACCCCAAAACGCCCAAGAAGGCCCCCAAGCAGTTCCAAGACGGTCCAGGAAGCCCCTCCAAGACGCCCCGAAGAGCCCCAAGAGAATTCCCGGCAAGCCAAAACCGTTCCATTCCTTCGGAGAAACTTTCATGTTTAGCCATACTCGCTTTGTTGTTTTCCAAGGCTCCAGAATCGCGCGAAAATTGATCCAGAGGCCCCCACAAAGCCC